CTGCGCCTACATCGGGGATGCCTCCCTCCCTGCCAGACCTGTCCTGTCAGCACACGTACCTGCTCTGGACCTGCTGACACTACTGGGAGGTGGGCGGTTGGGAGACGGGGCTTGGTCAAGGTCATTCCTAGTGCAGGATGGTACCAACACCTGTGCTATCCTTTCCTTCCCTCATTCCTCCCTCTCTCCCTCCCTCCGTCCCCTCCTCCCTTTTTTCTTTGATTTTTTTAGCAGTGGAAGGAGCTGCTGCTGATCTTTCAAAATACCTCACGTGCCTCCTGCAGGCACAGAGGTCCATTCTCCCATTCTCCTCGCTCCTGAGGTTCGAACCCTGTGTGTGGCAAGACATCTGTCCCCAGGGCCAGGGCGAGACTGGTTTCGTCACGGCATGGAAGCGGGAGAGTGGCAGAGGAGTGGGGGGCTGCGCTGGGCCTGGGAGCGGCTTCTTCAGAAAAGGTGTGAAATCAGTCAAGCCCAGATTCGGCGGAGATGACGGGGCCGGGCTGAAAATCAAGGAAACACCTCCATTCCTCAGAGCAGGAAGCTGCAGCGTCTAAAGCCGGCTCCTGCCCTCCGCGCTGCATGACCTTGAGCAGCCCACCTCGTCTCTGAGCCCCCATCTCTTCATCTGGGCAGTGCGGACAATCGTAACTCCCTCCAGGACGGTTCCACTGCGAGAATGGGATGGAATCACCCATGTCAACTGCATCGTATAAGGAGCACGCGATACAGATCAATGTTGTCTCTGCCGCCCTGTGGGCCCGGCTGGGTCACCCGGCGCCGGGGAGCAGGAGTTGTCTGGATCAGGCTCTGCGTCTCCACCCAGAGACCTCGGAAAGTCCTCTTGCCGACTCCCACTCAGAGCCGCCTTCCTGCCGCTGCAGTTTCCCAGAGGAATTCCGCGCTTCACGTTGGAAGCAGATGGAACGAGCAGCACAGCGGGTTAAGCCACTGGTCGAGACACTTGTGATTCTGTATCAAGTGCCTGGGATCGAGTCCCGCCTCCGTTTCCATCCAGCTTCCTGCTAATGTACACCAGGGAGGCAGAGGCGATGGCTTGAGCACTGGAATCCTTTTCAGCAGTTAGCAACTGCTTCCTTTCAGAGCGAGTGTGAGTGCCCAGTCCCTGGCTCCCGAGTGCCAGCTCAGGCGTGTGACACCTTCAGAAGCCATCAGCAAAGTGGAGCGTCCTTCCAAAGGGTCAGCTTATTTCTTTCTTTCATTTTTTTTTTTAAGATTTAGTCTATGTATTTGAAAGACAGGGTTACACAGAGAGTTAGAGCCAGAGAGAAAGATCTTCCATCCACTGGTTCACTCCCCAGATGGCTGCAATGGCCAGAGCTGCACCTATCTGAAACCAGGATCCAGGAGCTTCTTCCAGGTCTCCCACATGGGTGCAGGGGCCCAAGAACCTGGGCCATCTTCTACTGCTTTCCCAGGCCATAGCAGAGAGCTGGATCAGAAGTGGAGCAGCTGGGACTTGAACTGGCGCCCAAATGGGATGGCGGTGCTTCAGGCCGGGGCTTTAATCCATGTGTCACAGCGCTGGCCCCAGCTCATTTCTTTTTACAACAAAGATAATCCCTGAGGTATCACATCTGTAGGGCTTTATACAGAGTACATTTGACTTCCACGTAAATTATCTTCATGACCAAGTGGCATTTAGAACTTTGTTTTCCCCTTGTCACAGAAAATATTTGGGTTGCTTGGACTTTTTAGCCATGAAATTGGCATGATTTAAAAAATATGTACATACTTATATATTATATATATGCAATATATATGCAGGTTTCCTTTTTTTTCTTTGAGTTAGAGAGCCAGCGAGCAGCTGGTTCACTTCCCAAATGCCCGTAACGGTTAGGGCTGGGCCACACTGAAGCCAAGACCCAGAACTCAACCAAGTCTCCCAAGTGCTCGAGCCATCACCGCTGCCTCGCAGGGTGTGCAGGTGTCCGCGCCGGCTCCACTCCCCAGCCCGGCACCCTCATACCGAGGGTGCCATTTGCCACATTCCAGGGACCGAGATGCACTTGAGAGTTTGCATTCCAGGTCCTTCCTCGTTCCAGTCCCCGCAGGGTTAGGCGTTCCAGTCCCTGCAGGGTTAGGAGTCCCGTGATGGACGCTTAGCCTGGGAGCCACAGCGGGTGCGGGGCAGCCCAGCCCAGCCCAGCCCATTGATCAGGGGTGGAGCACGGTTACTGCGTTCCCTCAGGGCAGCTGCTGACCTGGAGGAACAGGTGCCAGGCTCCTGCATCCGCTCGCTTCCGGAGTCACCCATGGTCAGCAGCCAGTGCATGCCCTGTCAGGCTTGGATTTTCCTCAGCTCCCCTGCTGGCCAGCCCGGCGGGCCTCAGTCTCAGCCCTGTGCTTGTCTGGGCAGCCACCTCCGGCCCTCGCCCTGCTTGGTCCCAGGCCCAGCCCGCCAGCAGACTGCGGTTATCCGGGGACCTGGGACTGTTGTTGTCCAAAGCTGCTTCCCTGGGGACCCACAGTGGGGGATCCACCGTGAGCTTCTGACCCAGAATGAAAACAGCCTTTGCAGGTTGGCAAGCTGGAAGAGCTGTCTCTGCGCCTCCTTCCCGTGCCTGGCACTTGGGGTGCAGGCATGAGCAAGGTCTCTGGCGCCAGCCGTGTAGGTCTGGGGCCTGTCGCCTTCCTCATCTGTGAAACCCACGAGGGTGAAAGGAGACTCGGAGGCCACGATGCAGAAGCACCACTGTGCCTGGGTTTTCTCTCTCCAGGCACTGGTCTGCACTGAAACAGGCATGGCCCTCTCTGGTGGTTGGAGCGCATCAAGGAACCACCTGCTGTGTTAGGAACAGGTGCTTCATCCGAGGAGCAGGGTGCGGGACCCACTCTATATCCCACTGCTGGGCTGGGCTCTGCTCTCCCTGGAAGACACACTGCACAGCTACCTGCTGCAACGACCCCACCCTCCCACCCCTACCCCCGCTTCCCCGTAGCCACCCAGGATAGCAGCAAGGCCTGGGACGGACGGCGTCCTTGGTTCCAGGCTTGGCTTCTGTTGCTCCCTTGCTTTGTGGCTTGGGCACAATGCCTGCCCTCTCTGGGCTGTGGTTTTGCCAGCATGGACTGGGCTCCTCTCTCACCGGGAGCTGTGATGCTCCAGGGTGCCGACTGCTTCGTACAGGTGGGCGCAGAGCAGGGGAGCAGGAGGCAGCAGGCCGGGGGCACTCGGTGCAAGGGCCAGGGCTGGCACATTCCTGACAGTGCTCTCCTTTCTGGCTGCAAGAGCGCAGCTGAGTCACTCGCTCAGCCATCTGTTTAACAAGGGTAATGGCACGTACCAAAGGTGGCTTTGATGATTCAGCCAGATTAATGCAATGCTGCCCGTGAAACGCAGGGCGGGCCTGGCACACAGCAAGACCTCAGAAAAGGTCAGCACCTCCTCGCTCCGGAGCCAAACTTCCTCTTCTCCCAGCCACTCATGGCCACGTTCAGTAAAGCGGAAGTAAGCCCCAAACAGACCTGGGTTCCATCCCAACTCATTTCTCAAGGCTACTCAGCCTCGATTTTCCTCATCTGCAAAATGGGCATAACGACTTTCTCGAGGCTGATGTGAATGTTTGGTGTGATGGATACGATGGATACAGAGGTTTTCTTCCCGGAGGTCACCATTAACCCATCAGCATCCACTTCACCTTGCACTTTATGGTACCTGCTTCCATGCTTATGCCAGTCAACTTACAGCCCCACACAGGGAGTCTGGACCAAAGCCTGAGGCCAGACCATGTCCACCAGCCGAGCCACCGACCGTGTTCATCCTCACAGCCCCAGTGCTTAGGTCGTAGGTGGCCCCAGGCCCCTGCCCCAGAGGGCAGGTTGAACAAGGCTGGAATCGCGCAATGACTGATAAAGACCTTGTAGGGAGCCAGGGCTCCTGTCTGAGGCTGACAGCGAATACAGGACTTGGAGTGTAACTCAAAGTCTACTGGAAAGATATATCACAAGGAAACCACGCATGGCTATCCAAAGTTCTGATGCCAAAATGAACATATATATATTTGGAAGGCAGAGTGACAGAGGGAGATCTTCCACACACTTGTTCACTCCCCAAATGTCTACAACAGCCAGCGCCGAGCCAGTCCCGACTGAAGCCAGGAACTCCAGCCAGGTCTCCAGTCCTTGGGCCATCATCTGCCGCCTCCCAGGCCCATTAGAAAGAAGCTGGATTGGAAGTGCGGAACGGGCTGGAAGGGAACCAGGATCTGCCTGCCTCGTGGGCTGCGGGCAGCGGAAGCCTCTGAGCCCACACCGGCCTCTAGACTTCGCGTTTCACTCCATTTCCCCACGAACTTCCCGATGTATAAACAAAGAGGAAACAGGCACAGCGACCCTTCTGGAAGGCAGGGGAAACGCGAGCCTTAAAGACGCAGGAGCCCCTGGCCGGACGACCCCACCCCCTGAGGGTTTGTACTAAGAAACCCACAGAGGGTGAGGAGGTACAGGGCCTTCACCGCAGGGGTGAGCGGGAACCCCAAAGGAACCAGGATGAGCCGAGGCCTGCGGTGCACACCATTCAGAGGTAGACAGAAGTGATCGCAAGAACAGGAAGCAAAAAAAAAAGTAGCAAAAGAAAACACCATATGTAACTCTCTGCATTTGGGAAATAATTTGCTTTATACATTCCTGAGTTGAAGCATACATTCTTTTTTACAGTATGAAAAATGAAACAGTAAAAGAGAGATTTAAACACGGTCCGACGTCAGCGACTCTTATCTTTTTTGTTTTTCCTTTGTGTCCCTGTTCTGCACCTTTTTAATGAAAATATACCACTGTGCATTTTGCTTTGGGACCAAAAATATCCAAACTTAGTTATCAGGTTGGATGTCCCGCGAGAAAAGCCACTGTATAAACAACAAAAATGAAGCGTCCCCTCACCCCCACCCCACCCCACCCCACCCTAAGCAGCTTTTCTGGAATTCATCTTAGAAAGCTCAATGGCCTACTGGACTCAAAAGAAGCCATCCCCCACAAAATTGTATAAAAAGATTTATTGAAATTTATCAATGACAAACAGACATAAAACTCAAAGTTTGGCTCTTCTGAGGGGCGAGAGAAAACCTGGGATGGAACACGGGGTTAGGAGGCGACATCACTTCTAAAGCCAGGAACCTGTGGTTACTTCCCACCCCCCCGCTAGGTAAGAAAATACAACTTTGCATTAGTTTTTCCGTGCTCGGGTGTATGAAAAAAAAAAAAAAATGAAACCCAAACCCCAGCGACATGCAGTGACACCTCCCATGTTCCGGCCGGTGACAGAGGCAGACACGTGGAAGGATGCGGTCATTTTGGTAAAACCAGGCGTGCTAACATCTCACAGAACCCGATGGGACAGTTTTTTCTTTTTCCTTAAGAACAGGCTGACGCTGCAGGGTTTCTGTCTTCTCCTCTCGTGTTCGTCGTCAAATCCGGTTTACTTGCAACTCAAAAATACGACGGTGCTCTCAGCATCCCGGCCCGTGGCTCCCAGGAGGCCCTGCAGCATCCTCTCTGCAGAGACGGGGAAGCCCGCCACCATCTGCGAAGGGGTGGGAGGGGCGGAAGAGGGAGGCGAGACGGGGCAGAGTCCCCGGACCCGTGCCAAGGTCCACCCGCCTGCAGATTGCTATGTACAAACCAGGGCACCCCGTGCCCCGAGCAGACCCAAGAAATGCAGAAATCACGTGGCCCAGAGCAAGAGTGGAGGACGCCGCTGCGGGCTCGGGGTGCATACAGCGAGGCCGGCCGCCGAGGGTACGGGGCAGGTGCTCGCTCGGTTGTGTGCTCGGCTGATGCATTGACAGGGACAAAACCAGACACAGAGGCAGAGTAGGGGAAAAGAACATAAAGAGTGGCAGTAAAAATAGTCTTTTATTCCACCCCGCCCGCCCGCCCCCCGCCCCCCACGGCCCCCGGACACTCATCCCCTCTCGTTCCCACAGCAACAGTTACAATCAGAAAAAAATAAGTTTCAGGGGGCAGGATTTGGAGGAGGGGGGAGGGGATACGGGTAAAAACAGTCAGATCACGACAGGAATCGTTCAAAGTCGGGATTCCGCTCAGTCGTCCTCATCTCCCTCGTCTTCCGGCTCTCGTTTCCGCTTCTGACCCCTCTCTTCCTCTGCAAGGGTACAGAGAAGGCGCTCCCGTTAGCTCTGCCCTGCCTCCCTGCCTCCACCCACCCGCCGCGCATCCCGGACCCCTGTGGTCACGGCCAAGGCCAGGCTACAGGAGCTTGAGAGCAAAGGACTGTCTCGTACCACCGCCTTCTTCCTCCTCTTCCTCATCCACCTCCCCGTCGTTGTAACCTTCTTCGTCCTCCTAAGGGAAAACATGGACACCAAGGACGTGAGGGGCGGCACAGGTTCCGGATCAGTTCTGGATTGAAGACCCATTTGAGCACCTGCATGAGGCTCTGAGCTCCCCGCTCCCGAATGTGCCAACAACTTCCGGGGGGCTGTGGAGTCTACAGCCCCGGTTAGGGCCGTGGGATCTGCAGTCCCTCGGAGGGAGAGGTGGCTTCCCGTCGAAGCAGACTCTGGGTTGTGCCAAACAGCCCAGCATTTTTTTTTTTTTTTTTTTTTGACAGGCAGAGTGGACAGTGAGAGAGAGAGACAGAGAGAAAGGTCTTCCTTTTTGCCGTTGGTTCACCCTCCAATGGCTGCCGCCAGTGCGCTGCAGCCAGCGCACCGCGCTGATCCGAAGGCAGGAGCCAGGTGCTTCTCCTGGTCTCTCATGGGGTGCAGGGCCCAAGCACGTGGGCCATCCTCCACTGCACTCCCTGGCCACAGCAGAGAGCTGGACTGGAAGAGGGGCAATCAGGACAGAATCTGGCGCCCCGACCGGGACTAGAACCCGGTGTGCCGGCGCCGCTAGGTGGAGGATTAGCCTAGTGAGCCGCGGCGCCGGCCAACCCAGCATTTCTTTCACCTGTCCTCAATCGAGTCACGGCTTCCAGGGGAAATCCAGTGTCTGCAGGTCCAGCCTCCCCATCTCCAGCCCCTGAGGCCGCCACCCTCAACCTGCTCAGGAGTCAGCCAGGGGCGTGGCTCCACTGCTGTACCACACCCCTGGGTGGTGAGCCCTGGTCCTCAGCCTCAGGCAGTCCCTGGCTGCAAAGCCCTCGCCACAGATTTCTTTATGCGAAGGGAAACACACGCTTCTGCACTGTCACCAGCTAGCACCCTCGCCTGTCTGCCTGCTGAGCTCTGTGTGTGCCTGTGTGTGTGTGTGTGCGTGCATGCGTATATGTGTGTGTGCACACGCGCTACCCTTCCCTGGAAGCTGGAAACATGCCGACGGTCAGTGAGACCACAGCAGCAAAACAAGCTTGCATGCTGCCGCGCCTGTGACAGGAAGGGCAAGGCCACTGGCCCGGCGGTCAGCACGGCTTACAGCCCTGTCCTGGGGGGAGGGGAGAGAAGCTGCCTGCACCCAGGGAGACGACAACGCAGTGGGAGAACAAGCTGGACCAGGCCCCCTCCCAGTGGCTTTTCTCTCTGCTCCAGCGGGCTTCTAAGCTCGGGCTGTGCTGGGCTGTGCTGGCCGGGAGACCCTGGCTCAGCGAGCGTGGGCCATGACGCATGTCCGAAATCTCCATGGAGGGCCAGGAAACGGGGGAGGGGGGGGGCGGGGCACAGGGGACACAGAGGCACCTGTTCCTGCCATTATCCCATTAAACCTTTCCAGGTTCAACTTTTGCAATTATCTAGAGCTGATGGAGAGAGTTCTAAGCAAGCTACAGAGAGACCGAGAACACCCAAACAGAATGCACGGGGCCAGCAGCGGGACGGCCTCAGTGATCCGGTCTCTGAGCAGCCTATTCACAGCTCCTCATCAGGCTCCCTTCTTTGTGATGGAGGGACAGGCTCAGAAAGGCCACGTGGCAGCTCCAGGGACACACTGCTTGTTGGCGGTGGGGCAGGGAGCACCCCCTGCGCTCTGCTACCTCCCTGAGCCTGTGGGTACCGGCCACGCCTCCAGGCACGGTCTCACAGGGGAGGGCGCCCCTCTCACTTGGGCTGGGTCCTCTGCTGCTTGCTAGTTTGAGGAGTCTCTGCTTTCCCCAGCACAGGGGGGTCTGGGTGCTCCTTGCATCTTAATTAACACAGGAAGGCGAAAAAGGGGGGCGGGGACTCTGCCAGACCCCCCCCCCCCAGGAGATGAGACCCTGCCTGCAACATCCTCTGCCCCACCCCCAAGCCAACCCCCTCCAAACCAGCCCAGCAAATCTCAGCGTCCTCCCCCTGCCCCAGCGAGGGCGCCGCGCCCTGCCTCCTCACCTCCTCCTCTGCACTCACGTCCTCCTCTTCACCCTCCTCCTCCTCCTCCTCGTCCTCCTCGTCTTCCACTACCTGAGCGTCTTCGTCAAACAACTCCTCTGTGCGAGCGAAACGGGGCACACAAACAGAACTGGCAGTAAGCCGGCTGCCCCTCACCCTGGGCTGGGGGCCTGCAGTGCAGGGGGCCCCGTGACCCCCACCCCCACCCCCCAAGCCCAAAGGCCCAGTGCTCTAACTGTTGAGGAAGCAGAGCCGGGATGATGGCTCCAGCCCATGGCATCTGGAACACGGGCCGTGCTCCCAAGGTTCCCGATGCTGCAGGAGCCTCATGGAGGCTGAGGCCACAGCAGAGTCAGCAGCTCAGACCAACAGCTGCCCGGCCCGTTCCTCGCCCTAACTGCAAGAAATCCGAGGCACGCTGCACCCGGTCAAGGGCACACACGGAGTCACCACGGAGCGGGACCTGATACTGGCTCACAAAGTACCCCGCCCCTCTCAGGGCCCTTCTGCCCCATCCCAAGATGCCCCCCATGGCAAAGAGGGCTCCTGAGACTCTTCAAAACACCCCCATCTAACAGGGGTACCCCAACCTTGTGTCTGAACAATGGGCCAAGCGGCTCAATGCTCGGCACCTGCAGGGGAGCTGCCGGCAGTGGGAGGCTTGTCCTCTTTGCCTTCTTCCCCTTCCAGAAGCTTCTGCCTGCTGGCAGTGCTGCCAGGGAGCCCTGCAGCCCCTCCCATCCCCGCGAGCCCAAGTGCCAGTTCCCATCCTGTGGGCTGCAGCCACCAGGGGGCCCCCAGCCCCTCCAACTCTGGACCTCCTCTCCATGAAGGCATGCCTAAAAGGGACCGGGCTGCACCCTACCCAGGGCCAACCCCTGGGACCCCCACCCTGAGGGGTTGCCAAAGGCCGGGGGTGTACTGCAGAGAGACACAGAGGACCATCTTCCCTGCATGCTTTGCTAAAGGGACAGAAATGGAAGTGATGCAGTGAGCCGGTTTCCAGGGAGTGACTGCAGCTGCGGGTTCTGCAGTGCCTCTCTGAGCCAGACTAGGGACTTGGGCAAGGACAGCTGACAGCCCCACGCCCCCGCAGGTGGGAGCTGGAGCTGGTGCTCCCCACACCCAGCCCCAGTGCTGCAAAGCAAGGAGGACCCTGCAGCTCCGGGCTTCCCTCTCCACCACTCACCGTCCTCATCCTCCTCCTCGTCCTCCTCCTCCTCGTCATCGTCCAGGCCCTCCACGTAGCCCTCGGCATCCGAGTCAGAGGCCTCCTTGTCGTCCCGGTCGTAGCCGTCGAGGTACGTGAGCTGCGGGAGGAGCTCGAACACGTTTTCCCGGTAGTCGTTCAGGTTGGTCACCTCGCAGTTGAAAAGGTCTAAGCTCTTGAGGTTTTCTAACTTTTTCTGCAGGTGGCAAAATGGAGTCGTCGGTGAGCTATTTGAAGGAGGTGGGACGGGGGGGGGGGGGGGGGGGCAGGGGGCAAACAGGTGGGGATGCCAGGCCAGGAGGGGCAGCCCGAGGCTCACAGGTGGCAAGGAAACCCAGGTCAGACTCGGCTGGGCCATGGCCTTCACCCAGGCTCCTCAGCCCTGATTTGTGGACCTCAGTTTGTTCATCTGGAAATTGGGGAGTTGGACTTGAGAATGCGTAAAGCCGAAACTACTGGTCACACTTTAATTTTGCAAGCGCAGGTTTTGCCTGAAGAGTGACTAGCTGGACGTGACGCTGGGGCAATCTTGGAGCCCCAGCCAGGAAATCTGCTGCATGCCCTGGGACTACAGAGGCAGAGGGGGAAGAACAGGTACCGGAGCTAATACACGCACTCCTTCTGTGTCTCCTAGCGACCACGGTGTGGGCAGGGAACACGGCACCTTGTGGATGAAGCTTGGTGTCCTTCCACCCTGTACAACTGTGTACAACATGTTCTGAAGATGTGGGAACAGAATACAGAACCGGGGCTTAGCCTGGCTCAGCCCTATGCTCTCCCTGCCGGCAACACGGGCGCCACGTGGGTGGCAGCTGATGCACATGAGGAAGCAAAGCCCCCCATCCCCTCCGGGGTGGGGCCACAGGGCCACAAGCACCAGGGCTGCCTCTTCTCTGACTTCTGCCTCACTCAGCCCATCCCAGGCTGAGTCCCTGTGCTGGCGGTGGCCCCCGCTGGGCAGGGAGCCGCTGTCCCGTGTGCCGGTAGTGGGCCCTCTCACACCTCAGGCTTGAGGCCTAGGTGGTTATCAGCAGGGATGAAGGGCCGTGGGGAGGTCTGGGCTGTGGTCTGTGCGGGGGAGCCCCACACCCGCCACCCAGAACATCTCCCAGCCCCCTTGAGGTCAGCGCAGCACATCACACTGAGCCCCAGGGCGGGGCAGCTACTGGGGAGGGACAGACAGATCTCTAGCGGTGAGCAAAGCAGCGTTTTACAAGGCTTTTATCTACCCATCCCCTGTCCCAGCCCCCAAACACACAACACAGAACTTCAAGGTCTCCTCTTCTTCTAATGAAATGACGAGATCAAAAACTTCCCAGCAGATGACAAAACCTCCTGCTTCTCCTCCGAGATCACCGAGAGAGAGAGCTCAGAAGGACTTCCATGGCAAGCCAGGTTCTAGGCACCCCCACCACTCCCGAGAGACCAGGTTTCCCAAGCAGCCGACTGGCGTGGATAACGGAGCCGGCTCCAGGCCTGGCTGCCACCACCACCACCTCGCAGGCACTGGGCAGCCTGCAGAACACGTCCACCCCGGGTTCTTGGTCAGCACTGCCCCATCTCACGCCGCTCACAGTTGCCAGCCTCAGGCCAGAGACCCGAGATGCACACAGGGGTCCCCCTCCCCAGTGAGCTGAATTCCTGCACGGCTCTTCCTCCTTCCCAATCAGGGCAACAGGCCATGCCCGGGGCCGAGGGAATGAGAGCTCAGGTTTCCAGAGCTGAGCAGAAACTACGAGGGGAAGAAGCACAGGACTGGGAAGCAAGGTCACGCTCACGGTCCGGCCATGCCACCTCGGCACAGCCCTCCGGGCCTTGGTTACTCTGCAGACAAAGCAGCAACCAAAGCTCCGATTCCACCTCGTGGCCCGTCGCCAGAGTCACAGGGATTCAGTGGAAGGAAGAACATTCCAGAGTCACCGGGCCAACGCCTCCCCGCCGCCCCCCCCCCCCCCCCCCCCCCGATGACTTACCAGGGGCTCTATCGTGCTGAGGTCTTTAATTTTGTTGCCGCTTAAATTTAGATGCGTAAGGTTCGGACACTTTTCTGCCAACACGTCCAGGCCCCCTGAGATTCTGTTATCGCTTAGTTCGAGCTGAACGAGGCAGAGAGAGACAAAGCAGAAGCGGCTTTCACGTGAGGGCTCGCGGGGGGGCCCCCCTTCTGTCCCGCACCCTACAGGCAAAGCGGCGGCCCCCTCCTCCCGCCGCCCGCCTGGCTTGCCACGCGCCACCACTCACCTTCTTGAGTTTGTTTAACTTTGGTAAGTTTGCAACTGACACGAGGCCGACGTTGATTGTACTTAAGAATTCCAGTTCTTCAAACTCATCTGTCAGGCCCTCGATTTTGCCTTCATTCGACCGGCAGTTGTCCAGCACAAGCTCTTTCACCTGGAAGGCAAGCGCCGGTGGGCGTGGGGGAAGGGTACTGGGGGGGTGGGGGGCACCATCACGGCACGAGGACGCCCCCTGCCGCCCCAGCCTCTTCCCCATCACGGCCCTGTTTGCCTTCGCCCACCCTGGCTTTTCTGCCTTTGGTAACATTAAGGCAAGGGGAGCCCTGGGGTGGGCAGAGCGGGAACAGGGTGACCGAAGCCTCACAGGGGACTAACACGCCGGGCCCTGCCGCCTTTGGCGAGGTGGCCGATGGTCTCATTCCAAACCCTGCAGTCAGTCCCCAGCTCCCCACCAGCTCCAGCCACATGGTTAAGGGGAACCCTAGGCTGTGCTGCACTCCCCAACCCCAGCCTGACCACTTCCCACCCCCACCCACCTCCCCCCAGCCAGGAGGCCAGCTGCCTGCTTCCTACCCTCAGCTCCCACCTTCCTCTCACCTCCATGTGTCTGCCGTGTGCTCGTGCCCACTCCTGCCAGCAGGGAGAGGCTGGCCCCACCCCCACCTGGCTTTCGTCACCACAGTCACCTTCCTGGCCAGCCCCATGGGACCCTCCTGCCTGTAGACCAGCGCCATCCAAGAGAACTCCTCGAGGATGGGAAGGTTCTGTGCTGTGCCTGCCGTGTGTGGCCACGGAGCCACGGAGCTTCTAGTTTCACTCATTTTAATTACGTCAGGTGTGCAGAGAGGAAACCCACACGCCTGGCGGGGCCGCATCAAAACGGCGAGGCTGGCAAAACCCCCCAGTCTGCCTTCGGAGGCGCCTCTGCGGCCCCGGCTGTTCCTTCCCCAACTCTATCCCGAGTCTGGGTCCTAATCCTTTATCTCTAAGGAGGTAGAAGAACCAACACTCCCCGGAGGTGGCTAAAGGCAGACCTGGCTGCAGGTGAAATCGCAGGCTTGAGAGAGGAGGGTGACCGCGGGGGAGGAGCACCAGGTCTCCAGCCCGAAGTGACCCTGGGGGTCGGGTCAGCAGGGCGCCTGGGCGCCTACAGCCGGCTCAGTTACACACCCAGTCGGCTGCTTGGGAAACCCGGCCTCTCGGGGGTGGTGGGGGTGTTGGGCCAGGTTAACAGTGACTGCTCCTGGCTGCGCCTGGTGCTCGGCCCTGCCGGGACACGGTACCCCAACCTGACCACCATGCAGCCTGCCTCCAGGTGCGAGGCCTGAGCGCTCAGGACGGTTCACGGCGTACAGGCACGTCCTCCACGGCAAGCGCCAAGCAGCCTTCTCTCCTCCCGGATAATCAGATGGGCCTTGTCCAGGGCTGCCCCTGCCCCTCTGAGTGGGCCCGCCTTGCCCCCTCCCTATGCCACTGGGCTGAAGAGATGAGAACAGTGTCCCCCCAGGCCACAACTGCCCAAGCCCAGGCGGAGGAGCTGGGGCCAGGTCTGCTCTGGAGCCCTGAGGGGCCCTGCAGCTGTCCTGACTCCGTCCTTCCCTGGTGGATGGACGACTACTGCTCTGCCCGGGACAGCAGCTCCCTCCCAAAGCCAACAAGCCCTCAGCCCAGGCCTGGCCACCACGCCCACCTTCCTGTTACATCTGGGAGGGGAAGCCCACTTCCCAGGGGAGCCCAGATGTCTAGGTTGAGCCACCTTCTCAAGGTCACCGGCAAGAGTGCCTGGGAAAAGATGCTGGGAGGCCTTCTCCCCAGGGCAGGAGAGCCCTGCAGAACCAGGAAGCCAGGCTTTAGGGGACGCAGCAAAGAGAGGGGCAGTGCCCACTGGGGGAGGGGACCCACCCTCTGTTTCTGCAGTAAACACAGTCTGCTTTAGTAACTGGCTTCCCTGGGAATTCCCGAATCTCCACTACAGAAAGACAAAGATGCGCAGGCCACCCTGGAACACTGCGCAAATGGTTCTCCTAGAGGTCAAGGGCTTCTCCCCTTACTGCCATCAGCCAAGGAGAGGAGGCTGAGGATGCGCGGGGGAGGGGGGACAGCTCTCCCTGCAGAGGCACAGCGCTGCCTGCCACCCCTGCCTGCAGCCTGCCTGGGACTTCCCGGTCAGTCCCTGGCTCCTGGCACCCACCCAGGCTGGTGGTCACTCCTCTGGAGGGCCTGTGTACAAGCCACCACTGCTAATGTCTTTACTAAAAATGATCATTAGATCATCAGGCCTACTTGAAATGCTCCACACACACACACACACACACACACGGTCTCATTCAATCACTCCATGGAGTAGTCACAGGACACTCTCTCCAACTCAGCCTCACCAGCACCGCTTACCCTAGCATGCCAGGACACGGCTAGAGCAGGGTGCCGGTGTGGTCAGTGTCAGCCACCAGCTGAGGAGGGCCCCGGAGGGCTTCTCTGATGTCCTTGAACAGATAGGGCACCTGCTCTCCTGGACGCTCCCCGCTACAAGACCTCTTGGCCCCCACTGCCCCACTGCCGCCCTCTGACTGCTCCACTAAGCCTGGATGGTGCCACTTCCAGGTCCCCACCCTGGTTACACTTCCTCCGTAACCACAGCACAGGCCCTAACCCAGCCCTGGCTCAGACGGCGCTGGAGGAAAAGCCAGGGGCTGCCTCCACTCCCTGCTAAGGGTCCAGGCAGCGGGGTCTGTGGAATCCCCACTGCTTCCGGGTTTCCTTCTGGGCAGGGGGGTGGCTCAGTTCAGAATGGGATTTGAAAGCAGAGGAAGGGGCCGGGCTGAGAGTCTGAGGCCGCAGAGAGCACCCAGTCTGCCTCTTGCCCGTGTCACAGAGCGGGAGGGGCGCGGCGGCAGGTGCAGGTGGGCTGCCTGCCAAGTGTCAGAAACCAGGACAAAGCCACAATGGCGGCGTCACAGTGGACCTCACACTGCCTCCGACCCAGCCCTGGGCTCCCCGCTTCCACTGTAACCCTTCCACGTGAAGAACCATCTCTTTTACTTCCAGGGGGTGTTCTGCTTAAAAAAGAAAACAACACAGGAAAAACTAAAGCCAAGTCCTGGGTGTGAGCGAAGTGCAAAGTTAAAATTAAACCGAAAATTTGTACTTTGGGATTCGGCTCGCTCCCAGTTCCACCGGCCATTTAAAAATACCCGAATGTGGTTACCCTCAAGTGCAACGAATGGAATTCCTCCGCCTGCATCAGGAGCTTGCGAATCCCTGAGACAAACCCACACCGGCCCAGTGCTACATCCCTCAGGTTTCAACACCCAGGAGCTATCGGCGGGGAGCCCCAGAAGGTTCCCCAGAAGTCAAAATGCTCTGGCATGTCCTGAAAAAACATGTCCCTGGGGCCAAGGGTCTGTCCTCAGTCCTCCCCAGCGAGAGCTGAAGCGCCCATGAGCAGCACACATGCACCACACTGGAGCTCGCCTCTCCACTCCCCTACTGCATCCCTGCCGCAGCCACCTCAGACTGCTTTTGCCTCCAAAGGAGGTCTCTGTGACCCTGGGGACGGACGTGGTTAGCCTGGGCTACGGGGACAGGTCTCAACCTGGAAGCCAAAGATCCAACTGGCTGCCCGACCTCGGCTCTATCCCCAGGCAAGTGCTTCTGCCTCTGCCGCCAAGGGCACCGCGAGTATCTGCGAAACCCACGCGGTGCCAATGCCAGTCTGGAAAAGGGTCCTGGCCCCTCCCACTGCCCCACAACCATTCAGGCTCCGAAACACCACTTGCGAGGCCTCCCCTTCCCCCCAGGTTGCCCCACCCTCCTCCAATCTCAGGGCTCCCCCCACCCCCGCCACCTCTTTTCCCCACAAATCTGGCTCAAGTCCCCCTCCCGCAAGCCCAGCCCGCGCATCCTGGGGCAGCGGGCAGCTGCTGCGTGAATCGTTTAATCGTGTATTAAGCATCTGATCCTCCTGGAGGTCAGCGGCTGTCCTTCCCCGTAATCAGCCTAGTGGGAGCACACGCCGTAGCAACTGCCCGGCCACCGTCCCGGCCCCCGTGCCAGGTGGGGACCCAAGGCGGCAGGGACTCCGACCACCATGAAACTGGAGCATAACCAGCAGAGCCAATGCTGAGGGCGCCTTACCTTTAACAAGCTACAATCCCCACCACACCACCAGCACCAGCAGCACGATGCTGTGCCCTGGGAGACACCGGGGCCCTGGGAGGCAGGCCAGCTGGGCGCACTCCTCCTGACCTGGTCTGCAGCCCTGTCCACACACTCACTGCTGGCTGAGGGCATGCGGAGACCATGGCGAGCCGGGGGAGGGGACAGGCAGGCGGTATACAACCGCAGTCCAGTGTGCCAGGCAGCGGGATGGAGGCCAGGACACAGTATGCGCTTCCAATGCCTCTGCGAGACGGGACAGGCACACTCAAGGCAGACAAGAGGGATGCAGCGGGGCCAGGAGCAGCCACACCACTCAGGGTCCAGGTCAGCAGTGGTGGTGGGGGCGCCCTTCTCCAGAATGGTGAGGAATTGCAAGGTGGTGACTGCAGCGTGTGAAACCAGGCATGCACCGCGCGGCGCACGCACCTCGATGGAACAAACAGGCCCGGAGAGAAGGGAAGGAAGCTTGTAGGAAAAGGCATGCTTTGTTTTCCCGGCGGTGGGGAGAGGTGGACAGAAGGTAGGCTCCGGAGTCAGGCAGAGCTGGCTCGCATCCGGACTTCCTATCTCTGGGCCATCCCACCTCGTCCAGCTTTCACTTCCTCTAACGACCGCAAGCGCACAGCACCCAACGGGGGACAAAACACCACAGGGCACCCAGAGCACCCTCAGCTCGGAAAAAGCCACTCGCCTTCCCCGTCACCCACAGCCCCCTGGCTGCTGTGCAAGGCCCAAGAATGGGGACAAGTCAGCCCGAGGCTCCCAGGCCTCTGCCGCCGTGACACCTGTTGGAGAATCCAGCCGCTCCGCCCGGAACACGCCCCGCTTGCTTTTTACTCCTGCGCCTCATTTGGCTTTCTCACATGAACCTTGAGCCTTGATTTTCTTTTCCTTCACTGAGCAGGAATCCAATAAATATGTGCAGCTTTGTTTTCCACCCTGTCAGCCCCTGCCCGATTTAGTGTTCGCGTCCCAGTCTTTGCACAGAAGAGGAGA